GTCAGAGCTGAACTACGTGCCTAATTGTGAAATAAGGAGAGAAAACTGGTGTCACGACACGAATGGTTATAGAAGCACTGAACACTAATGGTCAAGTAGTGTTTTTTCGTAAGCTGTTGCACTTCCGCGTAAAAATATAATTACTCCCAAAATTTCGAATTACAAGTTCTAACGCATGAAAAAAAAACATTTTAAAGAGATGCAGAAAGCACTTTATGCGTTTCTCAAATCTTGCTTTTCAGTTCGTAATTATCAGCAGGATCAAAATTCGACAAGTCTTCTACGGGATGACACCACACCTAAAATTTTTTATATGCAAATTCAATGTTTTGATTCAGTTTGATCTGTCTTTAGGCAGAGACATGAGAAAATGTCTTATAGCATATCTCTTCCTGAAGACGAAGAGATTAACCTAAACATTAGAGAATTTGTACATAATAAATTTTGCGGCGTTTTCCCATAGAGAACTTGTCGAATTTTGATCCTGCTGATACTAAGGATATGCATTTTCGAATGTAAGGTATAAAACAATTGCTTAGACAACAACAGATGTCAAAGACTCAAGAGAAGGTATCGTCAACATTTAGCAGAGTGTCACATGAGAATCTCGCTCGCTAAACTTGTCTGACAGGTGGAGGACTGGGACCACCAAAAAATGTCTCCACAACCCAAAAGGAGCATATGAAAATAAATGAATTTCGAAGCACAACTGAAATGACTTTTTGTGCAAGCAGCGAATTTTAAGGTTTCAAAAGCATTTGGGTGTCAATCTCACTTTTCTCTGTCTCAGTAGTAATCATGCCCAACTGCATTTGGCCTTAAGATTAAGTAGTATTTACCTGAAACTCTTCCTTCAAAACTTCTCCTTTATACTGTTTCTCAAAATCCCTAAAACCAGCCGAGTTCAATAAACAAAAAATATAATTAGACTTCATAAACGGTAAACAAAACATACGTCAAAAAACTTCTCTGCAGCTCATGGAAAGACCGTGCTAAAATGTTTAAAAAATGAACATGTCTAAGAGAAGAACATCATACCGTCATCGATCGCGGCTTGTTCTAAAACGGCCTTTTTGTCCAGCATTGTTTTAAAACGAACCGAGCTGTATTCATAACGTTGTGGTCGAATCCAGTGACAGAAAATCTTAGTTGTCTCGACTTTTTTATCTTGGAGATAAATCTTCATCGTTGGATCCAAATACAGAATTGACAGATATGCCCGAAGTGATTTCCTTTCAGGTACAGTACTAAATGCGATATAAATTATAGATTTATCACAGAAAGTGCATGTCAAATTTTAGGCTTGAATAGTCAGGAAAGAGGAATGAATCAAAATGATATAAAAATTTACGATCCACTTGATGCAATGATTTCGGACACAATGGCAGTCGGAACGAACGCGACCAGAAACTTTTATCTGTTTCGACCACGCAGAGTCAAATCACCCTCAAAGAAAAAATCGCCAATTCGCCACCAAGAAATCACACCTGTATCGCTTTTACAATCGACACCTTGTAAGCAACAAGAGACTACTAGTACTATTCGATCGAACCACTATGAAATCAAAAGCCATTGCGTCAAAATCACACATTTATTAAATGCGTATCGCAGAATCAACTTAAGCATTCCAAATGATTTAGTGCATCGTAACACAGCGCAGTTTGTTAATTTCTGCTATTCCAATTCGGGTTTAACAAAAGCTGATGGAGAGTCAAATACCAAAACGAGCAACGATAATATTAAAGATTTTCGATCCAAATTGATTGACTGCATTACACACGAGTGTATTCAAAAAAGTTTGATTTGCAAGCCCGATGCCTTACCCTTTTCTAGCAGAGCGAAACAATATCCCTCGAGCGAAATCGTTGTTAACAACAGTTGCTCAGTCCTCAGCCTGTCAGTCAGCCTTAAGCACAATAGGGCGTGAATACATACACCCTGTGTCAAATAAAAACAGTAAGTTACAGGTGAATAAATTTATCCCCTCGTGTGATCCTGACCCTGTAAACAAGCAGTAGAAATATGGTTTCTTTGAAGGGCTGCATTCATGACGAGACTTGACAAGCTTGGCATCCTTACTTGCGAGCGTCGCTTCTCCTGGCTACAGATGACAGTTGTGAGGGCTAAGACAAATGATGCCAGAGAGGACTGGCAAGTGCATGGGAATTTGAAGAAGCGATGCCAGGATGCCAGGGGAGCCAAATTCTAAGTCATATAGCAAATGGTAGACAGTTGTCCAGGCAGCGAAACAATCGAAGATCTGTTCGTGACTTAGTATTCAGCTCAAAGACCTTTCCAAACAGGCGACAGACTGCCGGATTTGCAATAACCTCCTGAAACAGCTGCATCTGAGACGAAATGAATGACCGGTGTGAGGACTGATAACGTAGTCCCTTCGACTTCATCAATAAACTAAATACGCATACTACATGAAATGCAAAGCATACCATAAAAAACTAATTATTAAAGTCTTGCTGTATAATATAAAGTATTAATTTAGGTTAATTCGGAAACAATTGTTATGCCAGCCACTATACCTGTCGACGCTTTCTTCAGCCATGACCAAAATAAAATCATGGGCGGATTCAGTAAAATTCAGCTCCATTTCTCCATGGTTCGTGGTTCTCAGATTGTAGACGACCACGAGAGTTCCGCTCTTGCCTTCAATGAGATCGAACTGTTGCTTAAGCATTTCGATGCTGTGAAAGGGGGAGTACTGGAAAACAATAGACTCCTCCTGGCAATGCTAAAATTTCATAAGTCGGTTGTGAAAATTAGAAAATGTAAGAAATTCTGCAAATCCAAGGCATTAAAGAAAGAAGAGATGGTCAACAGTGAAGTGGGATGCGGAGGAAAAAAACCACTTTTAGGCTCCTTTGCTAGCAAACTGGAAGTTTTCGATGTTTAACGTGCCTTTCCGAGAACTTGTGTTCATATAATGTCTAAATATTAGCAATACCACAAAATCCGTCAAGGCGCAATAGCAAACCGACAATGCAAATCATCAGAATGATTATCACACTGCTTAAAGACACTAAAACTTTAGCACCTCCTATAATGAGAGGGAAAGTCGTCTCAGCTATTACACTGCTCACTGCGCATGACTACATTATATTAGAGAGGAGCAAAACATTTCAACCATTTTCATACCAGGTTACCGAAACACAATGAAAGGCACAAGAGGTGTGAGTCACCAGACTTCAGCAACAACTACAGGGAGTTTACATCGATTTGTAGCGAAACGAAAAATTTGCTAGAGTCCAAAGCTTCTTGATCATTAGTCAAGACATCCGCAGTGCAGTATGTCAAATGAATGAAAATGCTTTCCTGTTTTATAAAAGAAATATTAACATTAAAGTCTCGCTTTCCACCCATTCTGAAGAACGGAGACTGTTTAAGAGAAATTCAGACTAAATACATTAACAGTACAGCCGAGTACAGTCAAAACGGAACTTCTGTTACCTACTGTGAGAACACACGCGGATAAAGGAGCATGTTCTCATGCGGATCAAGGAACATATATAAACTTTGGAATACTAGAAGTGAGTAACGACTTTAAACGTCGTGAGGTTAAAATAACCCGCAAGATGGAACACCGCAAACATAACCCAAAAGAATAGCACCTCAGATTAAAATACAGCGGATATCATAAATCACAGACATTCGAAAATGCCAAAAAATTCAAGTAATAATCACAACATAAAATAAAAAACAACCACTGAGCAAACAACAAATATAAACAATTATAAAGAGAAGGTACCCTTTCTAAATTAGCACCAAACGAATGCAGTGGCCGCATATTAACGTTGTAGCAAGGCATTGGAACGACTACCTAAAAAAGCCGATCAGTTACGGCTGAAAGAAATACAGTTTGAGCCTTGCATACCTCACTTAAGTGTTTTTCTGCCAAGAAAGTACGCGACAGCATAAGAACTGTGTTGATATCATTTTTCTTAGTGAACAGAAGGAAATCTTTACCGATACGCATCGCTCCGCTAAAACAGACAAGCTAACGATTGCTGATCAAAACGATGAACAGAATTAGTAGACTTAAGAATAAACGTATTCTACCTTCGAAATGGCATGAATTATTCAAGTAAACGAACTATCTATCTTTGCGTCAGTTTCTAGAAGGTGAAGCACAAAAACAACAATATAGTAATAGGAGAATACACGACAAGAAACAAAGGATAAGGAACAAGTTCTACTAAAAATAGTCAGTGGTCGTCATAAGTGAACTGGTTAAAGAGTCGGTTAATAGGCATTCAGTTTCAACGGATTTACACAGTCTTCTTCGCTGTTAAATTCCTAGGTAGGTCATTTGGGCAGGCAACAGATCCATGGTGTTTGAGCATTTGTAGTGCAGGGAATGCAAAATGGCGTCTTTGTGTTGGGACAAACAATGAGGTGTTCACACAGAACGTTAAATTAATAGTTTTAGTTGAGCTCGAATGTGCCTCTGCTCAGCCCAACTCAAAAATGTTACTCTGTACACGGTGTACGGTATACGGTAGATTCTCAAATACGATGGACTCGTGGCCTGCTTAAACGATTGCCATCAGCATCTAAAAGGCGATTCTAAATAGCACAGGTTGCATAAGGTATACAAGGTAGCGAAAACAGACAATAAACCCAAAGCAACGATATATTTTTTGGTTTCCACGAAGAAAAATTCTGTCAGTTAATCTGACATATAAAATAAGAAAAACTTTAATTCTTACGATTTCAAACCGTTTCCATAGAAGCCAATCATTGACGGA